ATTATAATTATAATATTAGTATATTATTTATAATAGCATTTAAATATTATTATAAATTAGAAATATTTACCTTATTAACAAGTAAACTAAACATATCAATATATTTTAAATTTCTTTTAATAAAAAGAATTTCTTGAAAAAATTTTGAATTAAGGGTTGTACACTTATTCATCATAACATTTTTAGCATCTGAAAAAAAACGTTCACTTGGAACAGATGTTGCTGAAATAGATAAATATTTACGTGCTATAATTGCTAATATAGGATATTTTTGTTTATTTTCATTCTATCAATCAAAAGGATTTGTATTAGAATTTGCTTTTCTTTCTTGTAAACAATTATTGACTTCATTTATTTTTTTATTATATTATTGCTCTTCATCTCCAAAAAGTGTATTAAAAATGGAATCATCAGATAATTTTCTTTTAGTTACTTGAATTTCTGATAAATCATCATTTAGATTTAATTCATATTTTAAATCATCATATAAACATTGAATTTTAAATTCAATTTCTAATTTTATTTCATTATTAAACAAAAAACTAAAATCTTTATATCTTTGATCTAACATTGTTGAAATAAATGCAATTTGATTAGGATTTTTCCAATAGAAATTTAATGTTTTAATAATTGTTTCTAATATTTTTTTAATTATTTGTTTAGTTTCTATAAGATTTAATATTGATTTTTGTTTCTTTTTTGATGTTTCTTTATAATTAACTTTTCTAGATTTTCTTAAATTATGTTTAGATGGTCGAATAATAACTGATTCATTACTAATTTCATCTGTTTCTGAATCTGAGCTTATAGTATCTTCTGAAATATAATTATCTGATAATATTTCTTTCATATTTTCTATATATAAAAATATAATTTTGAATAAAATAATAATAAAATTTAAATTTTATAAATAAACTTACCAATTTTATTAATAATAATATTATTATTATTTTCTAAATCTTCAATATTTATTTTAAATCTTTCTTTTAATTTTTTTTTGAAAATTACTTTTAATGCTTCAACAATAGGTAATATTGATGATATTGTTGCATAATTAACTTCACTAAAAAATGTAGTTACTTCATCAAATGGTTTAAATATTTTACATAATTCTTCTAAAAGGATCTATTCTTCATCACATATCATAATTCTTTGTAAACATTGTCTATCAAGTTCATCATTTTTATTTTCTTTAGATGCAAAATTGCATTTAAATAAATTATTAGTTTTTTTTAACTTAAGTAACCTTTTTCATGAATTATATTTAGAATTCCAACAGATTTGAACTTCATTAATATTTTTAAGTATATTTGTTATAATAATTTCAATAGATTTTTCATCATCAGAATTTTCTGCTTTTTCATTATTATTTTTACTAATCTCTTTTTGTACTTTTTTAAGTCTTTCAAATTGTTTTGAAGATAAAAAAATTTAACTAATTTTCGATATTGTTTAACTTGTTTACTAATTGTATCTAAAGTTTTATTAACTATTAATTGTAAGGTTTATGCAACGCATAATAATCTTTGAATATTATTATTGCTATTATTTAAAATATTAATTGCTACTTTCATATTACTACTATTATCAGTAATTATATAAATAACTTTTTTTTCTAAATTATAATTCTCAATATATTTTTCTAAATAAGTTGTAATAATATCAGCTATATGTGGATAAGAAATTTTTTTAAAACCAATTAAAATATCATATGATTTAAAATTTTTATTTAAATAATGACCAGTTATTCCTATATATCCTGTTTTACTTTTTGCTGTCTATAAATTAGTTGTAATTAAAATAAACTCACAGAAATTAATAATTAAAGGTAATAAATTTTTAACTTCAACTTTATATGTTTCTAAAATTAAGATTTTAATAGTTTTATCACAAGGTATAACAAATACTGGATCAAGTTTAAAAAGAAATTTTTTAAATCTATTACTTTTTAATATATTAAATAGTTGAGAATTAGTAATAATAAATTCAAGTAATGCTATATTTAATTTATATTGTTGTGATTTTCCATGAGATATTATTTTGTTGAATATTGAACTAATTTTTTGTTGATATTTATCTTTCTATATATGATTTAATTAAATTAATATATTAACTATTATATTTATTATATATAATTAATTAATAAAATTATATTACCTTATTTTTCTTATTATTATCAGTTATATTATGAACTGTATTTAAATGATATTTTAAATTTGAAGTAGAAACTGTAAACTTATAAGATATATCACATAATTCTTCTTTTTCATGTTTTATTACAGGTACTATACAATATACTTTTTCATCATCTATTTTTTAAAATACTTCTATACTATATTTTGTTCACTTTTTAATTTTTTAGTTTAATGAGTAGGAATTGAAGGAATTGAAATTAAGGATCTTTTACAAATTAAAGTAGTAGGTGCAGATGATTGTGGAATTGAAGATCCAGATTGAGATTCTTCAACATCTCTATATTCTAAAAATTCATCACTCATTATTCTTAAAAAAAATTTAAAAAAAATAAAAATTTTTATGTTTTAATGAAATGAAAATAATTTTAAATTTAATATAAATTATATAAAATGGTGAATTCTTTTAAAAAATAAAAAAATATGTTAAAATTTAAAAAATTAAAAACAAAGTTTGAATGAAAAAAAATAAAAATAAATACCTTTTACGCCTTTTAAATTTTCAATAGTGTTTTTTTTTGAATTCTTTAATACAATGACTTGATTTTCCAATACAATTTTACAAAACTTTAAATTTTAATTGGTTAATATAATATGTGGCTTGCATATGCAGAAAATTTATGCAACTTGCATATTGCAAAAGCTATTTCAAATGAACTTGCATGCAGAAGATTTTGGATGATCAATAATAATTTAATCAATTAATTTATCCAGTTAATTTAACTGGTTAAATTAACTATTTTAATTAGTTAATAAAATATCTTAATTGGTTAACTATATAACTGGTTAATTAACCAGTTAACATTAACCGGTTTCAACTTCTATACTAATGAAGTATAAATAGACTAATATAACTTTTTTTTCACTTTAATGGCGTTCTGGAAATTAATACTATTACTTCTAATAAGTTTGTAGCATAGAGTAACCACTGACCTTTTTTCTGAATCCCGCCAGTGAGCAAAATCTTGTTTATTTTGCAAAAGGAAAATTATAAACTCATTTGCGATGTTCCAATGTGATCATACTTTTCACATTAGTTGTTACAATGCATCTTCAGTCTGCAAAGAACAGTGTCTAAAATAAAGATGGGAACTGTAATTAATATGTTGCAACTTTTAATGTTGCAACTTATGTTGCAATTAGTTTTAACCTATATATGTTGCAACTAATTTTAGCTTATGTTGCAACATTTTGTAAATTTGAAATCAATTGCTGTACCATCTTTAGTCTAGAATGTCAAGGTCATAATAGAGAAAAGCTTGAATGACTTGGTTTTAAATATATAAGTAGAGAATAAAAATTGCTATTATTTATATGTAAAGTGACAACTGAAGTAATAGATGTTGATAACAATCCATCAGAAGTACTCTCTCTAGATAATTATCAACCCTCTGGGTTTCTATCCAAGTTATACCAAAAAGTTAGTAAGGCTAATTCCAAGACCATTTATTGCTATTATGAATTTGGTTTAGTAATAACTGTTTATCTCAATGAATTAATGAAAAATAGGCAAAAGAAAACATAAGAGACGTTAAATAATAAAGTTTTAAGTTATTTTTCTCATTTCTCACCAGAAACTACTTTAACCACAGTAAAGGATAGAATTAAAAGGGGTAGAAATATGTACGATCTTTTTAGTGTTATAGGTACATTTAAAATCCTTATGATTTGTACATTTTCTTTAAACGAGATCTTGAGTTTTACGAAGGATGAAATTACTTTCATAAAATCAAAAGTAACAAACTGAGACGCTATATGAATTATTCATAGCACACTTCAGCTATATTTTTTTATGTCTTTTTTATGTCTTTTTATGTCTTATTGTATGTATAATTTATATGTCTTACTTCTATTCAATAGAAACTCTTAGCATGTGGTCTCATAGCTGATATGAAATCATACTAGATACATTTGTAGATATGTCATTTTTTTCTTCAGTAGTTATTTTAGTCGGTGTGATTTTTTTTTCTTATAATTGATAAGTAGGAATATAATAGATAAATTTGTAGTGAATGGAGGGATAACAAATTTTATATGTCAAACTTTCATATGTCTGAACATTCAAGCATTTAGCTTGGCCAGTCAATTTACAATAAAAGTACTTTTCATTTTTAAATAGTTTTGTCTAGTGCTTTTTAACCAATGAATCTGCTATAGCATTGATAAAATAAAGTTTTGCTGTCCTAAAGGATCTACTTATATTAGGTTTTTCTTCTTTTTAACTTAGTAGATTTTGAATTTATTTTTTATTATACGATTATATTTTATTTTATACTATTCTATTACGCCCATAATGTAGTTATGAAAAATAATAGCTAGTCTAATAGTAATGATTATTAATGCTTATTCTCACACCTATAATACATTTAATGAAAATAGAATCCTACTCGTCTGAACTGCTTCTCTTGGAATCATAACTTACTAGCGATTATTGATGATGATATTAATTACGTTTGCACTTTAGGAAAAAGAGGATGCTTTTACGGATAGTATTATCAGTCTTGACACTTGAGGGAAGGTCTCGAATAAATTCACAATATCTATTATTTGCTCAGATCTAGTATTTGATGAGCAGATATTGAACTCTTTCTACTTGATTCCTTAATACTTCTACTATATATTCGTCCGAATGGTGGTTCTGGCAAATAAAATAGATATGTTATTATTAATGAAAACTCTTAAAAAAAATTCTCTGAAAATATACCAGGCTTTAGCCAGAATTTTGATAAGAACTTCTCATAAATCTCTTCCCTAACTAGGCTCCTTTTGTCACCAGTACCTTTTTTACATCTTTTTGCTGTCTAATAAAATAATAATAAGTATATTTTGCTATCCAGATGCCTTATAGAATCCAAGCAATCGCTATTTATGTAAAAAGCTTTTGTGAAACTTAAAAGATTTTTATGATAATCATCATTTATGAAATAGTTTGTGTTTTCCTGCTCATTAATCTTATTAGCAATTTTCTCCCAAAAAATCATTTCTTTTTGTTTGGAATGGTATGATATTTAGTATTTCTTTCTTTTCATTTATCAATGAGAATGCGAAGTTAAGCATTAGACCACTCAATAGAAGACATACTTTACATGATGAGAAATTTCTTAAGGGAATAGAAGCCTGTTTTATGAAGAAATATTGAGTGATGTGTTAGATTATTACGAGGCAAATTAATTGATTAATCTAATGATCTAATCGAATAATAACAGTGGCTTAGCTATAAATTGAGAGGTGAAATATGATTGGTTGATCATTTTATGATTTATAGAAACTCACCAACACCTAAAATTATCCTGAAACTGTTGTAAAACTGTTGTGAAACTGGTAGGGAACTAGGGAGATCTCATGTAATATAAATTTTATATTTTAGCATTTACAGTGATCAGGTCCAATTTAACCGAATTAAAAATATAAATCTTTTTTTTTTTTTTTTTTTTTTTTTTTTAAGATGACTCAGAAACGAAAGGCAGTTATGTATGCTTCCAAGTACCAAAGTAAACTTGGTGTCGTTAATGACGATACGCTAGCCAATCTAAGGTAAGTCCCTATAATTTCAAGGTTTCCCCACCTAACTGAG